TCATTCATCAGGGAAAAAGTTGGCATCGGAATCTCAGACTCAACACTCAGCGTTCTCTCCCTACTCCCGGATCCTGGTAGCGTCATCTTCATCGCCGCCGCTACACCTGCTAACAAACCAATCCAAATATTTAACGACTCAGATAGCGTCCTATCTGAACTCGGTTCCGAAACAGTCATGCAAATCTGGATCCCGGGGCACTGCGTAGTCACAGGCATCATAACTCGTGGCATTTCATCCGGAAAATCAAGGGGAACACCGGGTAAAAGACAATTTTCCGGAACACTGATCCCAAATCATAATGTCCCGACTCGGTGGAGCACTTCATCTGTAACTGCCCTAATATAAAGGGGCACGCTCCCTATGCGGATCGCATGGAAGCGTTAGCAGGGCTGGTAGCAGGTCACTTTTCAGTGACTTTGTCACTATTTTGAAGTCAGTCACTAAAAAGGCACTTTTCACACCAAAAAGTCACTAAAGTCACTATTTCCCTAAAAATAGTCACTAAAGTCACTTTTTCACAACTAAAATAGAGTAAATGGAAAAATATCAACACCATTTTTAAATTGAGTACTTGGCACTAAGGAAGTCTACAGTAGTTATGCATATCTGTTGAAAAATTAACAATATTAACCAGGATGACCAGTGAACCGCAACAATTCAAGGACCTTTGAAACAGCAGGATAAATACTGGGAAATGCCTTCAATTTCGATAAAAAATCTGGGAAAATATACCTTCTATCTCCAAAAATAAATTCTAAACCTAGGAAACTTTTCAAGGTTATTTGTCTGTGCTAGATTTTCAGAAGTCTTTGAAGAATTATCAAGAACTTAAAAAAATCAAAGGACATTTTAAGACAATTTTAAATGACATTTCCAAGACATTCCAGAGAAGAATACCAAAGAACAGATTACGAAAGACTCATGTAAAGTTAAGTGCTCTGAGGGCCGATTTCTTCACCTCCGCTGAAATTTGAAACCAGGTTTATCCATATAGTTAAATCTGGTTGAAGGCTTAAGCGGGGGTGAAAATCCAGCCCTGAGACAGTCACATACGAGCGTTGCTTTTGATTATTGTTTAAATTATTAAAGATGTAAAATTCTGTTCAGAAACAATTCTGGAATAATTCCAGGATTTCAGGTCCAATTCTAATAAGATTTCAAAACTATTTCTAAGAGAGAGCTCTGATGAGAATTCCATGTAAATCCGAACTCCAAAGATGATCTCTGCGGATAGTTATAAAAGAATTGTGAAATGATTTCTTAGGATACTTTCAAGAGAAGTCTAAAGAGTTTAAATTCCGAAAAGAATTCCAATGGAATCGGCTTTTGAGGGTTCAATCTCCAAGGAATTCTTCGAAGAGTTTCAAGGGTATTCTGATATGGATTTTTGTTTTGAGAATTCTGAGGAGAATACGAATTGAAATTCCAATAGAATTCATGGGATAAGTCCAAGATTATTCTAAGTGGAAATTTATGTAACGCTCAACCAGAAACATTAAAAAAAAACTCCGGGAATATTGCTATTTGCTTCAAGTGCTCTCATAGGAGATTCCGTTGAAAGATTCAATATAATTAGAGGAATTGATGAAATGTGATTTTAAGTTTCATGACAAAAACAGTTTATTCCAATATTAAACCTAATTTGAGCTTCTGAGTCATCATATAAATATCACTATTGGTTACTTATTTATTATTTAAAAGTCATTATTTGGTCACAATTTCCGTTATTTTAGTCACTAAAGTCACTACTCAGTGTTCACTCGGCTGTCGACAAAAGCAGGCCACTCTCGATGTGTGCTAGGCGATCGTCTGTTTTCTCGACAGCAACCATTGTGTGGTCCTCATCATTGTTCTTCATCAGCAGTTCTTTCGGTCGATGCGTCGTCGACTTTGGAAAGCAACCGTTTCGTGATGAGTGTGTGAGTGCTGACCACGTTTTGTGTCCATTGCTGCAATGGACGCGCTCTGACCCTCGTTGGCATACAACAATTTTCCATACAATGAAACTACTGGAAGCGGCTGCAGTTCTGATGGAGGAGGCTTTTTGGATAGCGGAAGATAAAGTGTTTATTGTGTTGTACCTTTTGACTATATTTTCAAGATGTTTTGTATAGTGACCAAGAATCCTCGGCTCTGTTAAGTTAATTCGGTTGAGCCTTATCAAATAAATTAATAAAAAAAAAAAAAATAAAGTCACTACTGTTATATCGCATCAGCACTACCAGTTCTGCGTTAGGGATGTCCTGGGAGATGACTCCGCCAGAAATGCCGCCCTCCTTAGCTTCCTACGGGAAACCGGTTTATACTATCAAATATAACCACCCACTAACTACACAAACGTTCGATGATCATAAGACCCACTTCTTCCCGGCCCAGACATTGAAATTTCTATACAACCTCCACACCAACTAGACATACTCAAGCGACGATTATGGATGTTGATCGGAAGATCAGATTACTGGCCACTATAGCCTGATTACCTCTAAGAGGGTTCTCTGGTACTGTTGGAGGCGAACCAGCCCCAGGCTGAAAGCCTCCCTAATAAAGATAAATAATAATAATAATAATTCTCTGGTACTCCCTCGTACTTGCCTTTGAGAATTAGCGTGAATTGATGTGTCGGATGCCCATGTTCGAAGCGAAAAGTGGTCCTTGGAATCATATTCCAGAAGATCCGGATATAGCTACCGTTGCCAGATTACATCCAGGAGGATCACTGGTACTCGCATTTGATAATTAACGCAAATTGATGTGTCGCATGCTCATTTTCTGTTGGAGTAAAAAGTAGTTCTCGAGATCGGATTGCTGATGATCCGGATACTGACGACCGTGGACAGATTACTTCCCGGAGGGATCTCTGGCACTCCATCATACTCGCCTTTAAAAAATTAGCGCAAATTGTTGTGTCTCATGCCCATGTTCTGTCGAAATGAAAAATAGTCCTTGGAATCAGACTCTAAAAGATCCGGATACTGGCCACCATTGCCAGATTACGTCCAGGAAGAATTTCTGGTACTCCATCGTACTCGCATTTAAAAAGTAGCGCAAAATGATGTTAGAGTGGAAAAGGAAAGTGGTGCTCGGAATCGGATTCCGGATGATCCGGAGACTGGTCACCGTTCCCAGATTACGTCCCGGAGGTATCTCTGGTACTCCACCCTACTCGCCTTTGAAAACTAGCGCAAATTGATGTGTCGCATGCCCATTTCCTGTTGGAGTAAAAAGTTGTCTCCGGAACCGGATTTCAAAAGATCCGAATACTGGCCACCATTGCCAGATTACGTTTTCGTACTCTCCTTTGAAAACTAGTGCAAATTGATGTGTCGCATGTCTATTTTTGTTAGAGTGAAAAGTCCTCGTAACCGGATTTCGGAAGATCCGGTTACTGCCCACTGTCTCGGAGGGTTCTCTGATAATCCTTCCTACTCACCTTTGAAAATAAGCGTAAATATGGAGAACAAATTTTAGAGGACTTAAACATCTTAAGGACAATCCTGAGGACTTATAGCTCATCTGAAAACTGAAAAACCTGGGTGTAAGTTTGAAGGATCCCCAGGAGACGGCCTCGTCACAGTGGTTAACGGTATGAACGAAAAAGTCACGAGTTCAAATCTAATAAAAAAAAAATCCCCAGGAAAGCCCTTAACACTCTCATGCCTAGAACAGTGATAATTTTCATTAGCCGCCAAAACTCCTGAAAACTTCGTGAAATTTTAGTATTCTCTTCTTCTTCCTCTTCACATTTCAAGCTTATTGCTTATTGCGTGCTCTAAGCAATAAGCTTGAAATGTGAAGAGGAAGAAGAAGAGAATACTAAAATTTCACGAAGTTTTCAGGAGTTTTAGCGGCTTATGAAATACCATTAGTTCCTGATGTTCTGATCATGCTTGTAGTTCTTAATGATTCAGGTGCTCTACGGTTCTTCTAGTCGTAGTGTACCAGAATTTATTGATATTTGCAGGAGCTCGGTGGCCTTGTGGCGACCGATTTTACTTACTAAGCAGAAAATCCCCACTTCCATGCCTAGAACAGTGATAATGGCTATTCTCGGCAGTCTGCAACAAAGTTTAGTCAAGACGAGATTAGCTTTGATAGTTTTAATATTAAATTCAAATGACCTCCAGGACAAATCCAGATAACTCAGCAGCCTAAAGCGATTATTCGTGGTTTACTCGGGATAACATTTGTTTAAGTTATTGAGCATGACTGATCCAGTGAAATTTGCACAAGGAACCAAACGAATGGGGCTTGCAATTGGCAATCCATTCTCAGTTTGTAAATTATGGTGATCTATAGCGGTTACCGGCCACGTTCTTACGGTTTGTTAATATGAACTACGTTGCTACTAGAGACCGAGAACACCCTTGCATCCACACATCTATCTAAAACAATTAAAGTTAGTGGAAATGTTGCAGATCAAGATTCACCGTGGAATGTGATATGATCGTGTGTTTGCATTGCGACTCCAACATCTCTATAGAACGAAAGAGCTGGGGATCGAACCATTAATCTTCTGCTCAATAAGCAAAAACGGTCGCCACTAGGCAAGCGAGCTCTATATTATAGATACATATAAATCGATTACTGTCGAGCGTCCGATCGAGGTGTTGATATTATCGTTCAATCTCGGTGGATGGTTTCAACGACGGCGACAATGACTGTCAAGTGAAATTAAACATCAGCAGAATTTAATAATTATTTCCCACCAGCACACTTCCCATTGTACCGCTAATAACACTTTTCTTATACGTTTCTGTTCTGACAAAAATGGTCGCCACTAGGCAACCAAGCTTCTTTTATCGCAACAAACCGACTAGTGTTTGAGTCCTGATCTTAAACGCATTCTAGTAAACGACCTCTATTATTTATAATTCACTAAAAACATCACCATCATCATAAAATGTACACGGGAGCAAGTGGTAAGATGCATAAACTGTCAGATACTCCCCAAACAAACATCCTTCTACACATACGTTCTCTCCTTGTCTTGCACGCAGCATTCCAGCGCATCGTCTGGTACTATCGGCCTCCTCGGCATACTTCAGTGCAATGTTCACCGGTCATCTGCGGGAGAGTCAGCAGGAAGAAATCACCCTCCAGGAAGTGGCCGGCGAAGCGCTGCAGCTGCTCATTCAGTATTGCTACACCGGAACCATAGAACTCCGAGAGGACACCGTTGAAACCCTACTTGCAACCGCCTGTCTGCTTCAGCTGAGCACAATCGTCAACGCATGCTGCACCTTCCTGGCCCGTCAGCTGCATCCGTCCAATTGCCTCGGATTCTCACTGTTTGCCGAACAGCAGGGATGTACCGCACTACTCAAAATCGCGTCGGCCTACACCTGTCAGCACTTTATGCAGGTTTGGAAGAATCAGGAATTCTTTCAACTGGACTCAATGCAACTTTCGAACCTGTTTAAAAGCGATGACTTGAACGTTCCCAACGAACAGGAAGTGTTCCATGCACTTATGGCTTGGATTCAGTTTGAGCCCGAAAGCCGGAAACTGTACATTCCGGAATTGCTGGCACTGATACGACTGCCGCTGTTGCAACCATCGGTAAGATGTCTAATTTTCATTAGAAAAATGTTCAAGTCATTGCTTCATTCTCATTTTAGTTCATAGTCGATCACGTAGAAGCTCTCTGCGGTGCCAACGAGTGTCAACAATTGGTTATGGAGGCTTTCAAATGGCATCTAATTCCCGGAAGGAGATCACAGATTTCGACCCAGCGAACCAGACCGAGGAAGTCGACCATTGGAAAGCTGCTGGCTGTTGGCGGAATGGACGGGCACAAAGGGGCTATTAGGTAAGCTGGAATTACTCGCTTTAGAACAAAGCTTGATGTTTTCTTCTGTGTAACAACTACAGCATAGAGAGTTACGAACCACGGTTGGACAAGTGGACATTGCTGAAAAACATGCCAGCCAGACGACTGCAATTCGGTGTTGCCGTAATGGACGATAAGTTGATCATTGTGGGTGGCAGGGATGGCCTAAAGACGCTGAACACGGTAGAGTGTTTCGATTTGACTACGATGACCTGGGGCTCGATCGTGCCACCAATGGGAACTCCTAGGTGAGTGGATCAACCTGGTTTGAAACGACTGGAATCATTGTTTTGGATTCTTTTTAGGCACGGTCTAGGAGTTGCATTCCTGGAGGGTCCGCTGTACGCGGTCGGTGGTCACGATGGGTGGAGTTATCTGGCGACTGTTGAACGATGGGATCCTGCTGCTCGCACCTGGAGCTACGTAGCACCGATGTCGTCGATGAGATCGACTGCCGGTGTTGCAGTGCTGAATGGAAGACTGTTTGTGATTGGTGCGTTACTGGAGGTTTCCAAAGATCGAATGTAAATTAATAAACGGTTTTCTGTTTTGAAGGTGGTAGAGACGGTAGCGTTTGCCATCGGACGGTGGAGTGTTACGATCCCCATACGAACAAATGGACACTACGTGCACCAATGAACAAGCGTCGTGGCGGAGTTGGGGTAAGATTGTTGTTTATCTTTGGATAATTTCCTTAAGTTGATGCATCGAAACTTTTCGTCACCATGTCATTTTTCTTTTAGGTCGGAGTTCTCAACGGATTCTTGTACGCCCTGGGAGGGCATGATTGTCCGGCAAGCAATCCCGCCGTATGCAGAACCGAATCAGTGGAACGATATGACCCTACAACCGACACGTGGACTCTGGTAGGCGCTCTATGCCAAATATTCGATAGTAATAATGTACCGAATAACTTCACCTTACTCTTCCTTTTTTGTAGATTGCCTCCCTCAGCGTTGGTCGTGATGCAATCGGCGTAAGCGTGCTCGGTGATTGGCTGATTGCCGTTGGCGGATACGATGGTAATCAATACCTGAAGACAGTTGAACAGTACGATACGGAAAGCAACGAGTGGCAACAGATCGCTCCGGTCAATTATAGCCGCGCAGGGGCCTGCGTGGTAGCGATTCCCAACAACTTCCCCTCCGCCATTGGAGCGGCTGTGGCGGCAACTGGTGGTCCTTCCACATCCTCGACGATAGCCGGTCCCCTGGTGTCATCATCCTCCTCGACAAATACTACGGTTTAGTACAACAGTTCCGCTACTACAGCCCTGATTGATAGTGATGCTTCATTCCTAAGAGCGTCCTTGATTAGGACGCTGCAAATAATACAGCATCTCGCGTGTTCGTGTGTTTACTACTATCCATTTTACTGCTAAGTGTTGTAACCGGTAGGAAAACGAAGTTGCAAAACACAATCAACTGGGATGCGCCTTTCATCCTACTCTAAATGCTGGTGCTGATTTCGTCTGACAGAAAGACCCACACCACGATCAACGAACATTTTTTTTTTGCGGAATCGAATCGAACCGATCAATCTTGCATAACATAGTGATAACCCCCATTTATATTCAGGCAGTTTACATATTGTCCAGGAACCGCACAATCAAATCTTTTTGTTCGTAATTGCATGCAGTATGATCTAACACTATTGAATGGAAGACGTTTTTTTCTGCAAAGCGCTCTAATTGAATGTTGCTACAATAGTGTAAGATTGCATACAATATGCTCCCTCGGTGGGCGATTCTTGTCTGATGGTTCGCGAAGCCCTTTTCTCCGAAGACTGATTCGAGGCTTTTCGCCAACCAGGACGATCAAGATGCGCGCCGCCCTCCTGCTTATGTGTTCTTCCTTATTTTATTCTATTTCGTTTCTTCTTACAGAATAGGGGCGCAGGTTCCTCTCGTAGCGGTAACTATTACTATAGACGACAGTTTAGGATCTTTGATTATTACGTTTAGAACGCAAGGCTGCCCCATCCAGTGAAGATATATACATACCTTTTGTACAGCGATAGATTAACTCAAATGCAAACTGAATCATGTGAATCCTACACATAGCATGGAAGACGACTTTCTTTCCTGTGATCGATTTTATTATTATCATTTGTACCTAGTTCATTTTTCCAGTGAAACGCGAAGCCTAGCGAGCCAACGCTCCAACCGATCCTCACCAGGCGCGGTGGCACTGTGCACAGATTGCTTCCCTCTCCTCCATTCTGAGATTAGTCCCGAGTTTGTTGATGTGATTGATGGTCAATGGTCATACACCCGATGTCCAAAGATTCGTAGCCAAAAAAAAAGAGCTAGGAGATGGGGATTGTGGTACATCTATTCTACCGTGTCGGTGAGATCGGTGCGAGATACGTTACTTTATCTGTGATCGGCTTAGCAATTTAAAGTAAAAAAAGTTCTTCGTAGCTTGCTTCGGAGTTGCAGGGAAATAAGGTATTTTAGTTCAGTTTTTGTTCGTTTACATTTTCTCAAAGTATACTCCTCTGTGACTGTTAGGTTATTATTCTAAGCAAAATCAAGTAGTTCCCTGCAGAAAGGGTGAAGGCTTTAGTGTGTGATAGATTTTTTTTCTTACAAATTTAAGCAAAAATTGATTTTAAAGTAAAAGGAAACGAGTAACAGGCTTGTAGAATAGTGAGAAATTGAGCGAGACAGTGTAGATACGTAATTGACGCTTGTAAATTCAGCAAGCTGGAATACGAGTAGTCGACTACTGAAAAGTCGCTTATGTGCAGCTGTAAAAACAAAACAAATCTGATACAAGGCTACACGAGAAAATGGTACTACTTTTGATACTATTTATATCTAGTACTATACTGACGATCAATTAATAAACCATATTTTAGTACGAATGCTCTTATAATACAGTGGAACTTTCATTGAAACCGAGTTGAGAATATCACTTTCGATGGGATGTGGGCTTACAATGGATTGCCTTTGGTTTGTCTGAATCAGTCTGTCAATAATGATGAATGACGTAATGAAGGACATGAAAATCTTCATAAAATCTATGATGAATGCTCAAAGCTACGTCGTGTGAGAGGATTTCTTTCAACCATTCATTGCTATAGGGAGTAAACAAACTGTTACCAGTGCGTTGTCAACGAGGATGGCCTGATACTTATTTACTTTGCCATGTCCAGAGACATGGACATCAGTAGCACCTACTTTCCACCACGCAAGTAATCCCGAAAGCACACCTGGCGAACACCAAGCAAATGGCATCAGTGAGGAACATGGGGTTGTAAAGTTGACCCACCCTAATGAACATACTTGGAAAAATGATCATGAAAACAGCAAAACGTTACAAAACATTGAGGTACTTTATTTGAAAATTTATTAGGCATGCCCTTGGATCCCCCTATGAATTTCATATGTAACAGTAGAGTATAAGCGAAGACAACAAATCAAGAAGACTGGCAACTCTTCCATTTTCTCATACGAACGCTATGAGACAGGTAGGTGGAGGAGGGGCATAGTGAGCATCTCGCAGTTTGGCCCTGGATCTCTAGCTGCATGAAACAAATCAACTGGTAGTAGGTTCAATATCCAATAAATTTGTTCCGACCGGCCGGAAGTCCAAGCACGGGATGCTCACTATGCCCCTCTTACCCCTACTATCGCGTCATCTGCCGCTCAAAGGTAAATGCTTCGAACGAATTTGATAGCAAAGATTACATCCTCATTGTGTATTTGCTCATTTTTCTTTGCGTTGCTTCCACCTTCAATCAAGCGCAGCGCCATTGTACCTGTCGCTTGGATTCTAGCAAAGTTGCCAGTCTTCTTGATTTGTTGTCTTAGGTATAAGTTACTGAACGAAATGACGTTGAGATTAGCTGCTAATAGCTGCTAACCTGCAAGATACAACCCCTTAAAATAATGTTAAACAAAAATGGACGTAAATCTTTAAAACAAAGTGGTAGCGATTTGCGATACTTCTGCAAAAATGTGCATTTTCAAAGCACTTACAACTTTGTAGAATCTCATTCCTAGTTGAACACTCAGTCGGTTAACAACGTCCCGGTCTCAGTCGCGCGGCATCTAGTTTTTTTCGGTGTTTTTTTTTCCGCCCGAGCGGTTTTTTCACCCCCCATTGGGGGCCCCAAGTGACCAGTGTGCAACAGAAGAAGTGGAATTCCATGGGCCAAGCCCCTTGGAGTTGCCATCCAGCTTTAATTCACCCCGGTAATCCATCCGGTCGTCAAGCCATTTTTTCATCATCGTGCCGACCCACCAACACCAACCATCACCACCAGCAGCAGCAAACGGACCATCTAGCTGCAACGGCTGATAGGTTGTTTACAACCGGCATAAGTATTAGACAATACATTTTGCAAGTCCATTGCCTCCCTATTGTAGTTTAATTTTGCCTCGTGGCGCGTGACTCTGTCTCTCACCCCTGGTAGGGGAGTATGGGTCATAGTGAGACAACTTTTTGCAAGTAGATATAAGTTTTTTTTTCTGTTTCGATTTTTTTTTTCTTTTTGATTTGTTCGTACGTCGGGCAAAAAATTTAATTACTAGTAATTAAAATTAATTAATTAGTGAAGGTTTTAATTTTTTTTCCTTCTTAAGTGGTTGCGCACCGCTTTTGCGCAACACTTATGGCATCTTCCGATGCCTACGTTACGCGAACCAGATACTATGAACCGTCTTCGAAAGGAACATGGGTTGTCTTTGTTCGGCCCAAAAATAAACCTTTGAAAACTCTCGACATAACGAGAGATTTGCTGCGTAAGTATCCGGGAATCTTGGTACACAAAGAAAGATTCAACAAACTGCGTGTAGAAGCACCGACTTATGATGTGGCAAATAAAATTGCTGAACACGAGCTTTTTAGTGTTGAGTATAAGATCTACAATAGACCTGTTCATTTTAAACGAAATGTTCGGAATGTAACGGGTCAATCGTGATTACTGTTCGTCATGTTAATTTGAACTTTTGTGCAAATTTTCAGCAAAATCGGTGTTGATTTAGAGGTGCTTCTAGTTAATTTTATGTTTTCAAGGTAATTTACGACTTATAATATTTGTATCTCGAGACTGAAACAACGAAAGCTGCTGTAACAACTTTCATAGCAAAGCTTAATGTGACATCTACCAACTTTGTGGTCAAAGGTTGACTATTCGAAGTGATTTTATTGAATTTTCACTTAGTTTCATGCTCGAAGATATCTTAAAATGTGAAGAATTTTAAAGTATTTGTTCTACGAATTTTCCACCCATATGATATAAAAATGTGTAGTGTACGGCATAATGTTCCTCATATTGTTCTAGAAGTTTCGTTACAACATAGTTTTCGTGTATATTTAATAGATTGAGAGATAAAAATCAGAAAAGAGGCCGTTTAGCTAAAATTCACAAGACAACAGAACCAATAAAAGTCAATTAGATTGACAGAACATAGTTGCATTGCTTTTCAATGACGACCGATGACTGTTTCATTGATATATGATTTTTTCATAAATATGAATCCTCAGTAGACGTGTTTTTTTTTTTATCAAAGGCAAGTGGCAAAACCTCCAGCTCGAGAAAGCCGACTCGACCTATCTTTGTGTTCAAGATCGCTATCATTGGATTGTCAGTGGAAGGTTATCAATGATCCCCATGGTAGCGATCATTTGCCAATCATCATTTCAATAAAGTGTGGCCCTCACTCTGCAGAACCATCTCGGGTTCCATTTGATCTTACAAGGAACATCGACTGGCAGAAATATGCAACGGCGGTGACAATCGGTGTCGAATCAATAGATGCGCTTCCACCATTGGAAGAATATCGATTCCTAGCCGATTTGATTTACAAAAGCTCACTGGAAGCACAAAAAAGAAAAGTTCCAAGTGCACCCTTTAAAAGGAGACCAGCCACACCTGGTTGGGACGAAGAATGCACAAAATTGTATGTAGAAAAATCTGATGCTTTCAAAGCTTTTCGTAGACACAAAACCTCCACATACTTCGAGGAATATTCAAAGCTTGAGACAAAGCTGAAACAATTAATCAAAGCTAAAAAACGCGGTTATTGGCGCAATTTCGTCGAGGGACTCTCACGAGAAACCTCAATGAACACCTTGTGGAGGGTGGCTCGCAACATGCGTAACCGCTCATCTTTCAATGAGAGTGAAGAATACTCCAACCGATGGATATTCGATTTCGCTAAAAAGGTCTGTCCGGACTCAGTTCCAGCACAAAATATTCTTGGAGAAGCGTCTCCTAGCGGTGGCTCTCTGGATAGACCATTCTCAATGCTGGATTTCTCTATGGCTCTTCTTTCATCGAACAACTCCTCACCGGGAAGCGATATGATTAAATTCAATCTTCTGAAAAATCTCCCAGATATCGCTAAAAGACGCTTGCCAGATTTATTCAATTCCTTGCTAGAAAACAACATTGTACCGCCTGAATGGAGACAGGTCAAAGTAATAGCCATTAAAAAACCTGGCAAATCAGCGTCTAACCATAACTCATACCGTCCGATTGCTATGCTTTCGTGCATTAGGAAATTGTTGGAGAAAATGATCCTTCGGAGACTCGATCACTGGGTCGAATCAAATAACTTGCTATCAAATACACAGTTTGGGTTCCGCAAGAGCAAAGGAACAAACGATTGTCTAGCGCTGCTTTCCACAGATATTCAACTGGCCTTTGCGCACAAGGAGCAATTGGCTTCAGTATTCTTGGACATTAAGGGGGCTTCTGCACAGATGTGGACTTTCTGGAATTTTAAATAATTTCTTGTACAATTTGTTGTCAGAAAAGCAAATGAACTTTTCTCTTGGAAAACTGACAACTTCCAGAATTAGTTACACGGGCCTGCCCCAAGGCTCATGTCTCAGCCATCTTCTTTATAACTTTTATGTCAAAGATATCGACAACTGTTTGGCAGAACAATGCACGCTAAGACAACTTGCAGATGACGGTGTGGTTTCCGTAAGAGGTCCACATGCCGTGGATTTGCAAGGACCATTGCAAAATTCCTTAGATAACTTGTCTTCTTGGGGTATGAATATAGGGATCGAATTCTCGCCGCAGAAAACTGAACTGGTAGTGTTTACTCGAAAGCGGTACCCAGCCCAAATGCAGCTTAATCTTTTGGGCAGAAACATTACCCAATCATTGTCTTTCAAGTACCTTGTGGTCTGGTTTGATTCAAAGTGCACTTGGAATGCCCATATTACGTATTTGAAGCAAAAATGTCAACAGAGGATCAACTTTCTCCGTTCAATTTGCGGCACATGGTGGGGTGCTCATCCGGGAGACCTCTTTATAAAACAACTATTCTCTCTGTTCTAGAGTACGGCTCTTTCTGCTTTCTCTCGGCAAGAAAAAGTCTCCTAATAAAATTGGAACGAATTCAATATCGTTGTCTGCGTATTGCTCTAGGCTGTATGCACTCAACGCATAACATGAGTCTCGAGGTTCTGGCAGGAGTAACACCCCTCCAGAACCGTTTCTGGGAGCTCTCTCTCAGAATACTAATCAAATGCGGAGTGACGGACACACTTATAATTGCTAATTTTGAAGAAATTCTTGGGCTGAACACACAATCTCGATTTATGAGAATTTACCACCACTACATATCATCAGATATGTGTCTTCCTTGTTATACTCCAGACCGTGTTCACTTCACCAATCGCAGTTCCTCAATTGAATATGATCTGACCATGAAACAAGCAACTCATGGGATTCCCGATCAACTTCGACCTATTATTATTCCGCGTATTTTTACTGAAAAGTACCAACAAGTCAATTGCATGAAAAGATATTTTACAGACGGGTCCCGTCTCAATGGATCAATGGATCCACTGGCTTCGGTGTCTTCAATGAAAACTCTAGCGCCTTCCGCAAACTTCAGGAACCTTGTTCCGT